ACTCGCAAGTTGGTGCTGGCCTGAAACTCATGCATGATCCTCCTGCCCCGCCCTCCCAACCATTGGGATTATAGTCACACACCACCCAAGCTTGCTTAGATAGACAATTTAAAAGGACATAGGAAGATGTAAATAGTCCATACCATACCATTTTACGTAAAGGGATGGTATTCGTTACTTTTTAATTTAGCTTCATCTAAATTCTTAGGACAGGGTCAGAAGGCAGCCAGATTCTTTGTCAAAATATCACACAAGTGGCCTCTAGACCAGTTTGCTCTTAAAGTCCTTGCTTCCCTTGGAAGCACTGAGCCAGGTCTCTACAGTCTACCTTTACTTTCTGCACAGCTGTAACCTAGCTTTCTATTAGAAGGACCTGTTAGGCTCTGCATTCAGCCACTTTCCTAGTTCGAACTTAAGTTTTTCACGCTCCTCCAAAACCCAATACAGTCATGATCTTTACAGCAACATCCCCATTGTTCCTAGTCCAAATTTCTGTATTGTTCCTTTCTATTTGCCAAAGTGACTTATGTAAACAGAGTTAATCGTGGCTTATGGTTCTAGAAGAGAGTCTGATGGATGGGGAAGCTCTCAAAGCCTGCCCCTAGTTCTCCTGGGTATTTAACTTTGCAGAGAAGTGTTACATTTGTTTCTTCTGTAGAATATTACTTTAACTGTCTAAAGGTGTGTTGCATTGTTTATGCTGTGGAATACTAAACTAGGTGTACCAGTGTTAATTTATTTATGCTGCCTTTGTTAACTATGTGTTACATTTGTTTATGCTGCATTAGTTTAATTATGAAAAGATGTGTTGCTTTTTGCCTTGCTTGCCTAAGGTACTTGACTGTTGTAAGAGAAAGCTGCATGGCCAATAACTAGGCAGAGAAAGGATAGGTGAGGCTGGCAGGCAGAGAGAATAGGAGAAATCTAGGCTCAAGGGGAGAGGGAGAGGGAGAGAGGGGGGGGGAAGAGAGGGACATGTCTGGGGCCAGAAACCAGGCAGCCACCAGCCAGCCAGACACTGGAAAGGAAAGTAAGACAGACAGATGACTGACAGACAGAAAGAAAGAAAGAAGGAAAGAAAGGTAAAAAGTCCCAAGGCATAAGGTAGTTAAAGAGAAACAGGTTACAATGAGAGCTAAGCTAAGGCTGAACATTCACAACTAATAATAAGCTCCATGTCATAATTTGGAAGCCTGTTGCTGGCCCCAAAGACCCAGTGACATACTTCCTATAGCAAGGTTGCACCTACTGGGGTTCCATAACCCTCCCTAGCAGCACCAGGAACTTGCAACCAAATATTCATATGTAAATCCTATGTGGGTACTTTTCATTTTTCTATCAGTAAATGGCTATAAACCCAGATGCATGTGACATATTTCCAGACTGGGGAAACACATTTGAAAAACGGGTGAACAGAGTTCAAGTAATGGGAAAGTTTACAGGCAAGTTTCAACTTAGCTAGCTAGACATCCAATGTGCCCCTGTGGCCTAGACATGCTGGTGGCTTCATGATTTATCTACAGGCTTTTTTTCTCCCCAGCTTCCTCATGCAGTCTGTGGAGCATCTATGTTCATAAAAGATTATTGACATTCTAATCTCAAGGAGTGGCCCACTATCATGGAAACACCAGGAACCACATTTGCATATAGGCACACCCAGGTCTTGCAACCCTGTAGTTAAAACCCCATCCTATGCTGGAAATGCAGCTCAGAGGTAGAGCACCCAGTCTAGAATCCCCTAGTGAGGACCTGGGGGTATGGCTTAGTGGTAAAGCACCTGCCTAGAATCCCCCAGTGAGGGGTTAGGGGTGTGGTTTAGTGGTGAAGCAAGCACCTGCCTAGAATCCCCCAGTGAGAGGGTTGGGGATGACTCAGTGGTGGAGCATCTGTCTAGAATCCCCCAGTGAGAGGGATGGAGTGTGGCTCAGTGGTAGCACCTACCTAGAATCCCCAGTGAGGTGCTGAGGGTGTGGCTCAGAGGTTGAGCATCTGCCTAGAATCCCCTAGTGAGGTGGCTTGGGTGTGGCTCAGTGGTTGAGCACCTGCCTAGAATCCCCCAATGAGGGTCTGGGAGTTTGGTTCAGTGGTAAAGGGCCACATAAGTACTCACCCCCACCTCCATTTGTTATTTTCATTATAGGCTATTCATTCTTCATTGCATAAAAACAAACAGTTCACATGGTGGTATGCACCTGTAATCCTAGCACTTGAGAAGGTGAGGCAGGAGGATTGCAGTTTTTAGGCCAGTCTGAGCTGTCTAGTGAGACTGAGCTCAAAAATCAAACCCAAACCTAAGCCAACCAAACCAAATTTCCCTTGGCACCTCAAAGTCTGAAGGCTCCCACGTACCATAAACTCCACATTGTCCTCTGACTGAATTGTTCTATATTTTGGGAGATAAGGGGAGGGTGACCCACAATTGTGTTGTGAGCAAGGACATTACATCTTCCAGCCCTTCTGCCAGCATCCCCCCCCCCACATGTCTCTGACCCTGGCTGGCCTGGGTCTTCAGTGAACAGCTATGGAAACCTGGCCTTGACCACTGCTCCCTGATGATCTGAATGGCAGGGAAGCCAGGGTTTCCTTGCACCCAACTTCCCTCCCATCTCATAGATGTTTGAAAATGCTTCTGCCTTTTGATGTGGCTTTTTTTTTTCCCTCAGTTCGCTGTAGATTATCAAAATTCAATACCTTAAGGATCTTGTTGAGCAGGCTCCAAAGAAATGGAAAATATAAGTGGGGGGCCTGTGAGCTGGCTGAAGGAGGTAAAGGCACTTGCTTCCAAGCACACTTGTGTTCAGTCCCTGAAACCTGCAGCGTGGAAGGAGAGAACTGACCCCTGCAAGTTGTCCTCCGACCTCCACATGTGGGCTGTGGCACTAATACACATACATACACTTAACACGACTAAGCATATTTTTAAGGAAGAGGAAATACCTGGATACCTTACTGCTCTATCATGGGAAATGGAATTGGAAACTGTCTTAGTTAGGGTCTCTATTGGTGTGAAGAGACACCATGAGTAAGGCAAGTCTTATAAAGGAAAACATTTAACCTCACAGTTCAGAGATTTAGTCCATTATCTGTTGGGAAATTTAAGTACTCGTCCCTTACAGCTCTCTTCCTCCCCACCCAGCTGTGGAACTCTGGTGCTCTCAAGGTTGATCACACAAAGTTGTTCTCATAACTTTCGGGTGTGCAGTGCCCGTGCCTTGACCAGGTATGGGTGGTGCATGATTTTCTCCTATGCTTAGCCCATCCCCTGGCTTGGGAATATAAGCCCATTACTCTCTGTAATAAATGGCAGAAGCTTCCTCTTCACTTTTCCTGGTGGTCTGTTAAGTGCTTCAATCCCGACACTCTTCATCAGCTCGGTACTCTGGTTGCCTGGGCATGGCAATTATTGTCATGATGGGAAGCATGGTGGTGTGCAGACAGACATGGTGCTGGAGAAGGAGCTGAGAGTTCTGCATCTTGGTTCACAGGCAGCAGAAGGAGACCGAGACACACTCATAAGACTTGAACTTTTGAGACCCCAAAGCCTGGCCTCCACAGTAACACACTTCCTCCAAGAAGGCCACACCTGCTCCAATAAGGCCATACCTCTTAATCATGCCACTTCCTATGTGCCATGCACTCAAACACATGAGTCTATGGTGGCCATTTCTATTTAGACCACCACAGGAGTCAAGCGTCCACATAAATGCCTGTAACTCTAGTTCAAGGAATCAAATGCCCTCTTCTGGTCTCTGTCTGTGGATTTACACACACTGCTCCCTTTCTCCTTACACACACACACACACACACACACACACACACACACACACACACGGCTGTGCTCCCTTCCTCCTTCCCCTATCCCTCTCTTTGGGGATTAAACTGAGGACCTCACATATGTTGGGCAAGCACTGTATCAGTGAGCTTTATGCCTGTAATTTTTCCCTTTATTTTTTATTTTAAGGCAGGACCCCTGCCAAATTGCCCAGCCTGGCCTTGAATGAAAGATCCTCCCGTCTCCCTCAGACTTCTGAGCAGCAGATGGTACCCATACCACCAAGCCTGGCTTCCCATGTATTTTTGCCCCCAATGTGAAAAACTGTAAAGGTACTTGCTGTTTAAAATAACAAGCAACAACAGCAGAAAATACCCCCCCCCCCCACACACACACAAACAAGCAAGCAAAAAATCCTTTATTGAAATGGAGAGCCAGGCTTGGTGACTAGTACTGTCACCCCAGTGCTTGGGAGGTGAAGTCAAGAGGGTCAAGAATCAGGAGTTTAGGGGCCAGCCCAGACTAAGTGAGACAGAGTAAACAAAGGAACATCAAAACCCCAACAAAGTCCAAACAAACAGAAACCAAAGATCCCCTTCTCCCCTTTAAAAGAAACCTATGCCAACCTGGAATTACTTAGTAGCCAAGGAGGATCTTGAGTTCCTGATCCTCCTGCCTCTACCTCCCCAGTGTGGGCTCACAGGTTTGGCACCAGCAAGCCTGCTTTGTGAAGAGCTGGGGATCCGCTTGAGGTCTAGGCAAGCACTCCACTTCAACAACTGGAACTACATCCCAACCCCAAACCCCAAATCTGTCCACTCCCCCCTTGCCCCGCCCTAATTAGAAGCCCAACCAAGGAAACAAAACCAACCAGTTACCAACAGCAAACTTTAGTGGGATAGGAAGAGTAAAGTGGAAGTCCCTGAATTCACTCAGCTGATTCTTATTTGTTGTCAGCCTGATTGCTTTCTCAGGCCTAAGAAATGAAAGAATCAGAGGGCAGGTTCGGATTTCAGTCATTGGCGTTCTTGGGTCTCAGGAAAAGGTGGTTGTGGAGACCCAGCAGTGTTGCTGATGTTTACAGAAGTGTGGGTGAGCACAGAAGCATCAACTTGGATAGCCAGAAATCTCCGAGGGCCCTAGCAAAAAGGACACAAGGCCTGGCTCCGAAAGTAGCGGAATCCGCGTCTCCAGGCCAGATTTTCCCTCTAGCCATTCCGGGCCAAGCTAAGCAGAGCGGCTTAGCCAAGAGAAAGGGACGTCTTCCTCGTCTGCTGGGATGGAACAAACCCGCCTGCTTAGAGAGCACTGAGAACCCCAAGGGTCCCTCGCAGCCCTTAGCAGCCAACATGACTTGACTGCTCCCGGGTCCCGCGCGCTCCCCACTCTCTCCAGACACCCCCACCCTTTCCGGGTGCGCGCGCAAGAGCGGGCGAGCTTCCCCTAGCTGTGCGCTCCGCAGCCTGCGGGTGGCAGCGGCGGTGGCGACTGTCTCTCGGGGAAGAGGGTGACCAAGGGACCGCGGAGGAGGAGTCGGCGCCTCAGCCGCACCCCTTGGGACCGTGCCCCGCCTTCCGTCGCCACCTGAGCATCTCCCTCCTGTCTCCCCAGCTGCTCCAGTCTACCCCACCATCCCCCTGGGGGACCGTGTGTACTCTCAGTGCCGCAGCCGCGGTGTCATTGCGTCCGGTGATCGGGACACTCGGATCTTGGTTCCCCTGGGGGCTTGGGACAAGCTGCACGGGTCGCGGTGACAGGAGGTGGAGGCACCAGCGCGCATCCCTACCCCCCCCCCCGCTTTAGAGAGGCGTGTAGACAACTGGTGTGACTTTGGAGGTCCGACTCCTCCTTCCGGCCAGCCTCGCGACGCGCCACCTCCTGAGACAGGCCAGTGTGTCCGGCAGGCCCCAGAGGCTCGAGTGGGGACTTGGAACGTGTCCGGGAACCCGTGGCGCTGTGCGCACTGGTGAGTTTTGCGGGCGGGGTGGGGGCGGAGAGGACGTAGCGCTAGGTCCCTGCTCCCGCCCCTTTCCTGCCGTCCACCCCCCCCCCCCCACTTTGAGAGAGTCATTGAGATTTGAGCGTGACTGCGGAGCCTGGAGGATGCGGGCACCGGGAGCCGGCTTTTCCTTCTCCCGGAGTGATGGAGAGGGCCGGTGAGCTGAACAAAGACACCCACTCGGAGGAACGGGTCCTGTGCTAAAGAACGCTATCCTAGCCCCACGACAACCGCCTGCGGGAGAGAGTGTCGGCAGGGCAACTCCAGGAGTGGCGCGCTCTTCCGCCGGCGGGCGCAGAGCAGGAGCCCGGCACCTGCGCGCCACTCCCGCCACATCTCTGGAGCATCCTGACTACCACCGGGTTGTCCCTGAAAGGTCCTCGTCTCCCGAGGTTCAAAGTCCAAAGGCGACCTGTTCTGGGTGCAGCGGGGAGAGACTCTGGGACCGTTTATCTTTTGCTGCTTCTTAGAAGGGACTGCGTGCTGTGGACGGAGCAGGCATTTCAGGGACACTTTTGTAAGCCAGAGGCTTTCCATGTAAGTGATCACGCTTGATTTTCAACAGCCCTGCTCTCTCAGTGGTCTCTGTCGCCTGAGCATTGGCATTTTCCCGCAGCAGCAGCTGGGGTCCCCCTCACCTCCCACCCCTTGGCTATTGTCCGGTGTGAGGAGTCTGCACGGACAGGTGAGGCTGGTAGAGGAGTGGGTCCAGGGAAAGGACCGGCAGTGTTGTTTGATGGCTTCACTGAGGAGAGTCAAAGTGTTGTTGGTGTTGAACTTGATCGCGGTGGCCGGCTTCGTGATCTTTTTGGCTAAGTGCCGGCCTATCGCGGTGCGCAGCGGAGACGCCTTCCACGAGATCCGGCCTCGCGCAGAGGTGGCTAACCTCAGCGCGCACAGCGCCAGCCCCATCCAGGATGCGGTCCTGAAGCGCCTGTCGCTGCTGGAGGACATAGTCTACCGGCAGCTTAATGGTAAGGACGTGCCCTGACGCCCGTAGGTCGTGGTGCGTGCGGGGGCACAGGGTGATGATCTCCCTGGCTCTCTGTGTTCTGTGTACTCTAAGCTGACATCTGTATGCGGCTGGTTTCTTCTTCCATTCCAACTCAGTGTCCGGAACTCTCGTAGAAACCACTACCTGCTTCTTTCCCATGATGTACTCAAGCTGGAAGTTTGGTCCTACACTAGAAACCTGTCACTACAGGTGACTCATGGTCTCTGCTGTGACTCCAGCTTAGACAGGACGGACTGCAGTCTGGAAGGAAATAGCTGTCAGTGCATGGTGTGTGATGGAGAGCTGGTAGGGAAGTGGGTGTCATGGCTTGCAAAGGGAAGGCTTGAATGAATATATCATTCCTTAAGGTTGAATGCATCACTAAGAATGCAGACTCTCCCCGCCCCTCTCTGCCTGGGTGCAGGGTGAGATTCTCAACCCAATAGCAAGTTCTCAGTGAGTCTGGTAAGCAAGCGTTCATTCTCAAAGTTCCGCCAAACAAGGAGGCATGGCATCTAGGTTTGAGGCATTTTTCAGATCCTGTCCCATCTAAAACATTCTAAATGAGTTACCACAAAAGAGCAGAGGCAGAGGGGGGGGCTAACTTTCTGTTTTCACATGGTCCAAGGGACTGATGGTCCCTGGACACTTGCTGTCTTCACCGTGTCACATCGTCTATCTAGTATAAAGAAGACATAGTGGGTGCACAAGTCTGGATGTCTCTTCCCTTCCCAACCTTTTGCATGTTTCCATGGCCTGGAACTGTCAGCTGTTGCAATGACTGATAATAGTCTTGGCTGTGTACCAGGGAGACATTACAAGCTCCTCACCACATGTGCAATGGTAGGGCATTACCATTAGTCCAAGGAGATTCCGGCCCCTTCCTCACAGGAGAACCTAGCAAACCAGACTGGGGAAAGTTAACCAAGTTGCCTGTACAGTATAAGTAGTTAGTAAGCAGTACTTTAGAGGTTGGTTGATCACGGAGCCTATGTTCCTGGCTACAAGGCACACATTTCTTTTCAGGTGTCTGTGTGCAGGTGTGTGTGTGTGTGTGTGTGTGTGTGTGTGTGTGTGTGTGTGTGTGTGTGGTGTATTTGGGGAGGGTGTACACATACCACAGACCACATATAGAGGTCAGAGAACAACTCAGTAGAGCCAGCCCTCTTCTACTGTGGGACCCTGGACAATCTTAGCTCCTCAGGCTTTATTGCCTTTACCCACTAAGCCATCTCATTGGCCCCAGACTCTGAGTTTTAAAGTATATAAGGTTTTTTGTTTTGTTTTGTTTTGTTTTAAATAATGAACTACATGGATCTGTAGGTATAGCCATATAACCAGACTTATCTTCAATGGTGAGAGTGACAGGCCAGCCTCATAGCAAGTGGCGAAGGACTGAGGAAGACAGGTTTTTTTCTTGTCCTTTGATGCTCCCTTCTGGATAACCCCAGGAGAGGGATGTGGGCAGCTTCTTGCATTCATGGAAAGATGCCATAGTCTTCTTAGTATCATACTGTAAATATCCAGGGGGCTTTGAACTTGCACCTTTAGTGCCCTCAAGACAAAATGAACAGAACAAGATCAAATCCCTCAGTTCATGTCTAGAGCAATTAGAAGAGTGTGGGCTTTAAAATGACTCTAGAGCTTGTTACCCTAGGGTGGAGGTTCTTAGCCGCTGTTCCCGCTCACCCGCCTAGCATAGGTCTATGTGATGCAGGATCTATGTGGATGCAGAATCCAGGGTTCCATGTCTTAGGTACTCCTTTTCAACAGCAGAGAGTAGGGTCTGAGACTTTGCCTCTGGTGAACATCAGACACTCCTCTGCCTATACCAAACCTAGCAAGGGCAGAAGACACATTACAAAGCCAGCAGGCTGGGTAGGACTTGCCAGAAGCCAAGATTTGCTTCCAAGGGGTTCTGGGTCTGGCTTCTTTCTCAGAGCCTTTTGCTTTGCAGAGAATGCCCATGCTGGGGAGATGCAGATGTAGATCAGTTGGTAGAGCCCTTGCCTAGCTTGCATGAGGCCCTGAGTTTCATCCCTAGTACTGCATGCATGAACCAGGAGTGGTGGCACAAACTTCTAAGCTTAGCCCTAGGGAGGAGAGAGGAGGAAAAGACTTCAGGATCATCACTGGCTACCTATGGAGCTCAAGACCAGTCCGGGCTACATGAGACTCTGTCTCAACAGGGCAGAAAGATGAAATTGGGCGGTGGAAGTAGAACAAATTGATTGGTTGAGTGGGGAGCTCAGAAAGGAATGCTGGAAACTGGTTTAGTTATGTCCAGTTGAGAGCTTCTCCTGGGTAAGCTATGACTTCAAACCGGGACTTGGCAGAATCTGTCTTCCCGGACACTGTGGGTGATTTGTAGGGACATGCAACCTGGAGGATAAGAGCTCAGGAAAGTTGTGATGTGAAAGAGACCCTCCCCATCTCCACCCTGCCCTCAGGGGCACCAGGCTTTGTCTGTTCTTGTTTAGAGGATTGCTTATTCCATCTGTTATACTTGGCTGCCTGCTCTATCAGGAGGTGGGGGGTGGGGAGGGACCAAGGCTTCATCTGGGCTCATGCTGTGTACCCTGTCTCCACCCATTGCTACTGGCAACAAAGAAGGCGACTAGGAACTTAGGGTTCCTTATTTCTCAGCTGCAGTGGGGCACTGGGCACATAGCAGGAGCTCATACCCAACTCCTCTAACATTTTTCAAGTTGCACGGAGCTGGACTAGGGATATAGTTAAGTAGTAGAATGCTTACCTAGTGCATACAAGGTCCCAAGTTTGCCCTCCAGAGCAACAAAAGACATACAAATAAATGAACAAAACTCGCTCAGGTTACTTAAACCCCTCCTGTGGTCTCTTGGGTCTAGCAGGAGAAATTCATGGAGATTTCACCTCCCTCTGGGTGGGTTTTGGTTTGCTTGATCATTTTTGCTTATTTTGAGGCTAGATCTCATGTAGCCCAGGCTAGCCTGAAACTTCTCAAGGATGACCTTGAACTCCTAATCCTCTTGCCTCCACCACCTCAGTGCTAGGATCACAGATCTGCCCAAGCCGTTTTCTGAGGATCTTTATCTTTGTACTCATGATTGGCATCATCTCTGCCTATTTGCCAAGAGACATCTCTCATTGACCTTTGGCTCTGTAGCCTACGCATTGAAACTTAGCCTTTGAGAAGAGCTGGTTATACTGATTTCATTGCGTAGTCCTCAATTTTATCCATCCATTCAGACATGGTGCTTGTGACTGAGGGTTGTTGAACGTTTGTGGGCAACAGTTCCATTGCTTTGAGCTGCTCAATGCTTTAGAGAGGATCACTTTGCAGTCTTGGCTGGAGGTCTTACGCCTTGGTGGGTTTAACAGTCTTGAAGTGACTCTAGGCTTTTTAAAGGGCTGGAACCCTATTTTAGACTTTTACATCCTACCCTGTCTCTTACCATCTCTGCCTTGCGTATATGGTGGGCAGTTGAGGTTTATTGATAGCTGGATGGGAGCTGGGTTTTACAACGGAAATGATAGCCACAGAGAAAATAACCTCAAGATTGCAAAGGCTGGGATGGTTGGTGTGGTGAAGGGAGAGGGTGGGAAGGGCCTAGCTGGGAAGACTGAGTGTAAAAAAGCTGTCTTGTCTTCATCATATTGCCTCCATTATCTTGCCTGTGCCTTCTTGTCCGTTATCATTTTGTTTCTGCCATCTTGACTGTGGCATCTGCCCAAATGCTTTCTTCCTTCTGACACATCGCCTTTACCATGGTGTTCCCATCATCTTGTCTAAACCATCTTTCCTCTCTTGTCTTGTCTCCCCCATCTTCCCCTCGCCATCTTGTCTCCCCCACCTTGCCTGTACTATCTTGAAGTTAGACTAGTCTTTTCCTTCCTGAATGATAGGAACCAGCTCCTTCAAGAAGCTCGGAAGTAAGGTTAGCCACTATACCAGGTTAGATACTAGCCACTATCTGTATGTTTGGGTACATGACTGTATGTTATGAATATAGTTTAATATTCTATTCTGAAGTATGAAATCAGCTCATAGAACATCTGGAAAAATCTTGTAAGAACCATACAGAAGAAAGCAAAAACTCTTAAAATCTGTTAACGCAGTTGCCTGATGGTTCTTAGAGACCCAGACATGGATTTCGTTGTTGGAATTCCCTGGTCATGCGGTACGTGATTTTTGGTTTCCTGTCCCTTTCTAAGGAAGTTATTTATTTCTCTCATTTTAGAGATGACAAAGGTGAGAAATAGAGATATTGTTAGATTTAGCTGGTGCGATACAGTGAGAGAAGGGCAGAGGGGAGGGTTAGAAATATGGTCCCTGTTCCTTCCAGGACCCTTGTGGGGAGTTGTGGGGAGAGGAGGAGGGAGGGGGCCTGTGCAAGCCTTGCTCCCCCCCTCCCCCGAAGTCCCCAGCACAGTGAGTTGGAGGTGGGAACACCCGAGCTTGGGCCCTGTTCCCTGTCAGCCCTGGGCAGCTGTGTCGTAAGAGGAAATGCAATTGATTTCGAGTTAGTTTCCAAATTTAGATTTCAGAAGGATATTGAATAGAAGCTGGGTTGCTTGGAGAAATTGAAAAATCTTTGCGGAAATAGAGAGAAGTCAAAATTACCTACCCTGCTCCTGCCTCTAAGCCACATGAGTGGACGGAGCTGAAGTCTAAAACTGCAAAGAAGGGGAGGGGGAAGGACAAAAAACAAAAACGAAAACATTCCCAGGTAACCCAAGGGCTGTGCACCAAAATTCTCCAGGCAGAGAGAGTGAGTTGGCAGTGGGGCGGGGGGATCTGCTCTCTTCTCTGCAGGTTAGAGCCGAGAAAGCAGGATTGTGAACAGCCCAGGCTGGCCTCAAACTCCTTACATAGCTGAGGTGACCTGCAACTCCTGACCATCCTACCTTCACTCCTGTGGTGCTGGAGGGGCAGGTGTGTATCACTATGACTGTTCCCCCCACCCCCAATGCTGGGATAAAGCCCTCTACTAGCACAGA